AGGGGGCTCCTGGTTGAGCATCCCGAGTGGCAAAAGCACAGAAACCTTCCTGGTGAGAGGAAACAAGTACTTTAGCGGGAAGAAAACCCCTCCACCTCTCTTCTCATGCCATTGCCATTGCCTCACAGGATGGGCAAAGCTGAGGAGGACCCCTCGATGGAGCTGCTGCCACCCAAGCCAGGGGCTCTGCAGGAGAAGGAGCCTCCAAGACCAGCAACAGCAGAGAGGGATACTCAAAAATAGAACCAATGGGGGGGGGGGAGAAAAAGAAACTCAACATCCCCAAATTTTCGGATTTAAAGCCAAATTCCAGCTTGCTCGCCTCCCTGTCACCCTGGCGACATTCCTTGTGGTCGCCATGGAAACGGGAGGCATGGAGAGAGCATCACTGTACTGGGTAGTGGCAGCACCCGGCTTTATTTCGGGAGGCAGGGAGACACCCGGTGCAAGGCACTTCATGTTGTGTAGGGAGGGAGGAGGGAAGGTTTATTTTTACTTGCTCCCACTTCATGTGACATTTTTTCCTCCTCTAAGCTCTCAGGTGCCCCTCGCCCTCCCATCAGCTTTCCCATGATCCTCCTGCATGCTGCACAGGCATGTCCCATGCCCCCACCACTGTGTCCCAGCTGGGTGAGCTCAGTTGGGCCATTCCCATGAAGTCCCTCCAATGGTCACCTCAGCTGGTGGTTCCTGGTGCCACAGCAGGAGACAATGCTGTGGCTTGGAGTCAATCAGCTCTTCTTAGGATGGCACAGGATGAAGACAGCAAAACTTTGCCACCCAGAACAGTCCTGTCCTTCCACAGGAAGTCTCATGGTGAGAACAAGAAGCTGCAAAGAGGAGTGGAGGGACGAGAGGATGATGATGGCTCTCAGACATTGCACCCCAGGGGCTTGGAAGGGGATCTGTTTGAAGAGAGGACCTTAAATCTGTTTCTTCTCCCAAAACCTCTTGGTCCTGCTCCACGGCTCAAACCCCTCTCTGTCCACCTGCAAAAGGACCTGGGACACCAGAGACCTACTGGGCCATCCAGGACTGGGGCTGGGCTTTCTCCAGCACCCACATGGACTTGGCGAGGCCTGCTGAAACCCCCGGGTGGCTCTGCTCTGACAGTTAGAAACCCAATTTCAGCCAGCCTCTACCCCATCACTCCACTGCTGATGCTTTCCTTTGGTGTAACCTGCTCCTCTCCCACTACACCGGCCTCTGCCTCAGCATCTTGGCCAGGAGCAGATAGGGCCCTCCCTGGTTTTGAGGGGCCAGGCGGGTGTTTTCCAGCCCAGCCTGGGAACGCGGCTGGAAAATCCCGGTGCAGCAGGTGCTGGAGCAGCAGAGAGGGAAAACACGGCAGCCAGCCTAATGGGCAGGGAGGAAATGTATGCAAATATATTCAGAAAGGAATCTGGTGATGCTAATAGACTTGTTAATCCTCTCAGTAAGCACCAGGAATAATATTTTTACACTTTAATCATTAAGGATTTTACTCCAAGTGAGCCCATGAGGACAGAGGGACACACAGAGGAGATGGCCGCAGGTGACAGCTGGGGACAGGGAGGGTGGCAGCCAGAGTCGGCCCCAGGGCAAGAGCCGGTGGGGTCACATGGCCCTCAAATAATTGAATTAGACCTCTAGGTCAGATGTGATTTGCTTGGAGACAAGGTGACAAATTAAAACATCCATTTGGTTGTATTAAAGTAACTTTATATTAGCGATTAGATAATGAATATCTAATGGCCTCATCTAGATGCGGAGGTTCCCCTGCCGCTGCCGTAAGACCCCCATGTGTAACTGCTGCCGCAAGGACAAATTTTATCCCACCCAGGCTCGTCACCCCAGGCTGCTCTTGAATATATTAAAACTTTCTAACCGTCACTACTAATCTCCTTTCTGTTAAATCTATAAAAAATCTCAGCACCTGTGTTCTTCTTTCAGTCAACACGTTGCATTACATTGTTTGTAATCCACTTGCAGGAATCCAAGATTAATATTTTCAGAGAAGCTTCTTTCAAATCAACACCGGGGAGGATCTTTTCCTTCCTCCACGGCTGGGCTGTGGGATCTGCACCACTCCAGACAGGCCACCCGAAAGCAGGAGGTGCTTCGAGTGGGGTGACGGACCACCGGGGAGTGGCTGTGCGTGACCCACCGTGGAAGCGGGGGGTGACCTACAGCCACAGCAGCCTGATAACTCACATCTCTCTCCACTTCTTTTGCTCCAGAAGCTGAGGTGGAAGACTGGGGAGAAGGAGCTGGAGGCAGGACGGGGCTGGGAAGGGCAGAGGGCAGGAGGCTCCGGCTGGGAGAAGGGCGGAGGTGAATGCACCCGTAGAGAACATCCCTGGGAAGCCTGGCCCTAGAAGGAGGGTTCATGAAAGGCCGGAGGATGGGGATGCCTTTCGCTCTGCCTTTTCCCCTTTAACGACACTTCCGCGTGTAACTTGAGACAAGTTGGGAAAGAAAAAAAAGAGGAAGAGAAAAAAAAAAAAAAAAGAAAAAGGGAAAAAAAGCGCAGTTATTCCCGCCTCTGCCTCCTCCTCTCCCTCCTCCCCGGCCAGCCAGGAGCCACGTCACCGTCACCCAGCGCTGGCTTCGGGGCTGCTCAGCAGGCTCAGCCTAGGGTTCTCCAGGGGACAAAGCCCAACTTTTTGCCTGGAGCAGGGAGAGGGTGGCCCTGGGGGAGAGGGGAAGGAAAAAAAAATCCATCTTGGTGGGGGGGAAAGCAAGCAAGGGAGACGTCCAGCTTGAGTGCCTGGCAGAGGAAAGGCGCTTGCAACCAGGGGAGAGAAGAGCCTGAACGTTTCTCCACCAGAGGAGAGGGCTCCATACTCGGGGAAAAAAAAGGAAAGTTGAGTTGTAGGAGAGTGTTCACTCGGACAAGGCTCAGACAGTGAAAAACTTCCTGCCCTCGCCCTCCTTGCCCACAGAAAGTTCCCCGCGCCCTTCACCCCAGAGGAGCACCTCAGCCAGCATCATGAACGTCTTCCGCATCCTGGGGGATGTCTCCCACTTGTTGGCCATCATCATCCTCTTGCTGAAGATCCTGAAGTCCAAGTCCTGCGCTGGTGAGTGCCCCCATGCCCCAGGGAAGGGGGGGGACCCTTGGAGGGTGGCTCAGCAAGGGGTGCAAGCGAAACGGGTGCTGTAAAGGCCTAGCAATAGCCCACACAAGCTGGCAGCCCTCTTTGGTGGGCTTTTTGAGGGAAGTCATCATCCTCCTCTGGGATGTCTCCGTGCCAGGAGGACAGGGCTGTGTTGGAAGGATGTGATGTGGCAAGGCGCACGGCCTTGGGCAGATGTTGGCCTTGGAGTGGTGAAGTGAAGGAGAGGGCAGCAGGGCTGGAGGGAGGTGGAAAACAACTGCAAGGAGTTGTGGTGGCACCAAAATCAATGAGCTGGAGGGGAAAGCTGCTTTAGGTCAGAGGTCCTGTCGGTCAGTGGGCAGGGACCAGAGGCTGCCCTGTCCGTGGGCAAGGAAGTCAGTGCAATGGCATCCCGCAGGAGGATTTTGCTCAGAGGTCGTGGTTTCCTCCACAAGAGACTTTGGGGCTGGGCCATGGCACCACAGCCATTATCACAGGTAGAGAAACGGGTGAGTCTCACTGCATCTCCCTGTCAGCAGTGACTAAGCTCCATCAGCATCCCTGATACCGCAGCTCTTCCCTCTCACGGCAGATGTCACATCACACAACCCCCTGTGAGGTGGGCAGGCGACGGGGGTAAGGGAGGGATGACGACAGTAAGGACTGAATTGGCCAAACCAGTAAAGGTGTCCACCGAGCGCTGGTCCCCACAACCCGAGGCAGGGCTGAGGAGCCTGCCCTGTTACTTTGGAGGCTCTGGCCGGTCCTGGGGTAGGTGTAGAGCTACCACAGCACCTACACACCAGACCTGGCTCATAAAGCAGCAAAAGAAGGCATAAGGGGAAACGACCATCCCAAGGGTTCTTCTCATCCACTTTATCTTCCTTTCTTCTCCCTGTCATGCAGGTATCTCTGGGAAAAGTCAGATTCTTTTTGCCCTCGTCTTCACAACCCGCTATCTGGACCTGTTCACGACTTTCATCTCTGTCTATAACACTGTGATGAAGGTAAGGAGAGGGCAGTGCAGAAGCAGAGATTCCGCTCAGCTCGCTCTGGTATCTTAGGGAGCTGAGGGTACACAGTCACTAAGGCAGTTTTCCATGCAGGAAAGGTGGATAAAGATGCTTCCTTTGGTGTCACTAGTCCTCCATTGACAAGAAAAAACCCTCATCACAATTAGTGAGTAGCTGAGCCCACCACATTTAGTATCACCAAAACTAGAACAAGACATCATGAATCAAGCCTGGGTGTCCTTGCACCACAGGAGCATTAAGAGATGACTGCCACCAAGCCAGCCTCCTCACGCAGAGCCCTAGAGGGCTCAAACACGCATAATTCTCATGATTGATCAGTCTTTTGTTGACTGCTGAAGTATCTCTAGCAGACGTCAGTCCACAAGCCAGCACAAAAAAGCATTCACCACTATCTCGCCCTGGCACAGCCCCGCTGGAACCAGGTTAACAGATCTTGATCTTAGCAAAGCTGTCCTCTCTTCAAGCACAGAAGGCACTATTGCAGGTACGATCTTGCCATCTCCCTTCCTTTCCCCAGGTCATTTTTTTGATATGTGCCTATGTCACCGTGTACATGATCTACGTGAAATTCCGGAAAACGTTTGACAGCGAGAACGACTCCTTTCGCCTTGAGTTCCTGCTGGTCCCTGTCACAGGCCTGTCATTTCTGGAGAACCACAGCTTCACCCCCTTGGAGGTAAGGAAAACCTGAGGCAGGAAAGGGGAGGGGAAGCAGCAGCCTGGCACCAGGCAGCAGAGTGAGCAGCATGTTCAATAGTTGAGAATTTTTGACAGTAGAAGCAGGAAGCAAAGGCAAGGTTGGCAGGCCTTGAAGTCTGCACCATTTACAGAGCAGCTCAGCGCTGTTTCCTCAGAGTCCCAGCACAGCAGGCTCATTTTTCCCCAGCTCCAGAAGCGCCCTTCACCCTGCTCACATAGCAGTGCTCTGCCAAATTAAAAACTGCATGTCTTAACACATCTTAACGAGCACCAAGACTCTCCACTGTCTTCACTATGCATCTCACAGATACTCTGGACCTTCTCCATCTACCTGGAGTCTGTGGCCATCCTTCCTCAACTCTTCATGATTAGCAAGACGGGGGAAGCAGAGACCATCACAACACACTACCTTTTCTTCCTGGGCCTCTACCGTGCTCTCTACATTGCCAACTGGGTCTGGCGCTACCATACAGAGAATTTCTATGACCAGATCGCTGTAGTTTCTGGGGTGGTACAAACCATCTTCTACTGTGACTTCTTCTATCTCTATGTTACCAAAGGTAGGTAAATAGGTCGTTATAAATCTCAAATGTTCATTCGGCACTGTTGCAATGTATGGTGGAGCTGCAGCTTGCCACGCATTGATCCTTACATGACTTTGTTCTTTGCTGTATTTGTGATGCATGTTGTCCACCTAAAATCCAGTTTGAAAAACATATCTATTGAATGCAAGTGGGCACTTCTGCTTACAAGGCTCTAGACACGCATGTGAAAGAAAGTAGAAATTACACCAGAGCTAAACCTATTTTAACTCCACCTTGGGAAGTTAACAATTGAGGCACATTCAATTCTACATACATTTTGAAAGATTATGAATCACACCAAAAAAAAAACCAAAACACTTTGAGGGTGAAAAGAAATAGCTGTAGGCAGACAATGTACCTGAGAAAGCAACTGCAGACATATGGAGTTATTATTAAGCCTACTTTTTCTTTTTATGGAAAAGATGTACCGTTCTCAAGCACTGATTCTCTAGCAAGACAGGCATCTGCATGGACAAAACAGCCCATTGTTTTGAAAATCAGATGCCCTTTCCACTTCAGCACCGTGCTACAGTAAATGGCTACCAGAGGTAACGATTACATCAAGGGCATAAAATCTGGTAGAACGTGGCTTGCTGAGGCTGACGTACGCTCTAGAACACTTTTCTGTTGAGGAGGATGGAATCTGATGAAATCTAGCTGAGCAAACAAGTATTTTCTTCCTTCTTCACATTCCTGAACTAGTCTGCTCAGAGCAGTAGCAAGAGCCTGTGTTGGATGCTCTGAGAGATAGATCTTTGTAGCTCCATGCAAGATCTTTGTAGCTCTGCCTGCTAATAGAGAGGTGACAGGAGCACCGAGCAAGTGGCTGGCCTTGGCAGATTAAGACTTCCTTCTGTCATTAAAACATTTTTGCAGCCAGAAAAGTACTTTGTAAAACTGTCATCAAGGTGCTCCACGTCAATTCTTTTCTTTTCTTTTTCTTTTTTTTAAAAAACTAATTCCCATTTTAGCTTCACTCAATCCATGTGTCCTGTGTCCTTCTGTATTTTGTGAGAAATCCATACCCTTTGTAGCTGCGGATGGTGGAACAAAAGGGGGGAAAAAAAACAACTGCTGGCTTTCAGTCTCACATCACTGGTGGCAGAGCTGCAAAATTTAGATGATACATGAGGCAGAAGAAAAAACATTTGTCCCTGAGACATCACAGCAGGAAGAGAATTGCTTTTATTGCTTTTTTTTTTTTTTTCTTTTACACAAATGTTCTGGATCACAGGAGAGAAAAGGTGTCTAAAGATATGCAAATGCTTTGCAGTCATTTGTGAAGACCAGCAATATTATAGCAGGTTGCATCTCTCTTACACTTTAGGAAAAAAAATCTTTTCAAAACATTTCTAACGCTGAAGAGCTCAGACAAAAGGGCAGCGATGCTGCAAAAAAAAAAGCAAAGATGTGTTATATAAAGAAATGTATTTAATAAGACTTCAGATCCTATACCAAAGCATTGTGAAAGGATTTTTATAGAACGCAACTTCTCTCTATCTTGTTTTCAAAACTAGATGAGCTCCTTTCTGTTTAACACAAGGACCTGAAAGACATTCCGAGGAAGCTTTCAGCTCCCAAAAGCTTGTATTTCACAGAATGGCTGAGGCTGGGAGCAACAGGGTAGGGAAATAATCTAATCCACTCCCCAGCTCACAGCAGGGTCACCTGCAGTGGGTTGTTCAAGGTCTGCTCCAGTCAGGTTTGGAGTATCTCCAGGATGGAGGCACCACAGTCTCTCTCTCGGGAACCTCTGCTGAACTATCTGACCACTCACCACAACATTTTTTTTTCTTGTTTAAGTGGAATTTCTCATTGCTCCTTGCCCTGTCACCAGGGACCACTAAGCCAAGTTTGGATCTGTCTCCTTTACTTCCCCCATGAGGCACTGATGCACACAGGGAAGAACCCCTCAGCCTCCTCCAGGCTGAGCTCTCAGCCTGTGCTCTGACATCGAATGCACTAGTCCTTAAACCATCCTCGTGGTCTTTCTGAACTTGCTCCAGTATTTTCCGGTCTCTCGTACTGGGAGCCCAGAGTTGTACCCGTTGGTCCAGCTGCGGCCTCACCAAAGCTGAGTAGAGAGGAAAGACCACCATCATTGATCTGCTGACGGTGCAGGTCAGGAGGCTGTTTGCATTCTTTGCCATGAGGGCAAGTTGGTGGCTCATGTCCAACTTGGTGTCCACCGTCATTTGGGTTCTGGTGGCCAGCAGGATGCCCATGAGCCAGCAATGTGCCCTCGTGGCCAAGAAGGCCAATGGCAGCCTGGGGGCTATTA